TGAGGCGGGCCACGTCAGGTGAGTGACGTCATTGAGGCGACTCCCTACGGTCAGGTATGTGTACGTCATTGGGCGGCTCCTCGTCATGTGAGAGTGACGTCATTGAGCGGACTCCACGTCAGGTATGGTGACGTCATTGAGGCAGCTCCTCGTCGGAGTGAGTGACGGTCATTGAGGCGACTCCACGTCAGGCGGGTGGACGTCATTGAGGGCGGCTCCTCGTTCAGGTAGGTGAACGGTCATGAGGCGGCTTCTTGTCGGTGTGGGTGACGTCATTGAGGCGACTCCACGTCAGGTAGGTGACGTCATTGAGGCGGCTCCTCGTCGGGTGGGTGACGTCATTGAGGCGACTCCACTTCAGGGGATGACACGCCTGGGCCACCTCTACGTGTTATAGCATGTGTTGTTTCATTGCGCTAAATCAGTGAAATCCCGTGACATTGTACGTTTTTGCACACACTTAAGACAGAACAGTACTGCATCAGACACAAGACAAAAATTAAGTGCACTGATGTGTGCAACTGCGGTAACCTTGCTTTAGGCATGCCATTTTAAACGCATCCAGTGAAGCGCCGTTGCTGCCAGCAACATCAGTTTACGCAATCACAGTGGTATAGTACAGATGTTCATGCAAGTCCCGATATACGGTTGAATTGCGTCTGTACAGGATGTACTGAAGCAGACATTGGCCTTCATCCCGAGGGCCGTCAGTATCCCATGGGATTCAATATGGGCGGGATTTTGGGGTTGGATCCTGAAATCTTTCTGGAGCCCCAGGCATATGTCTTACTGCTAGTACTGCTGCCATCCGCTAAGCAAAGAGGTACCTCGGTCTGTATCTCTGTTAATAATGTTTCACACAGGATGATTAGGTCTCCCACTTTTCCGTGAACGCAGACCACGTGATAGGGGTGACATGTGCTGCAGTTTATTCTGGCCCTGCAGCCTTCAAAATGACGTGGCCAGCGCGATAGTCGCACGCTACACCATAACCGCGTCAAGAATGCTGCGGTCTTTAAAACTATCGTTTGCACGAAGACAATTTTAGCTCAACACTGCGATTTTATGGAATCATTTACGCCAGATGCGATTGCAGCAGGTCATCAGCGCCTGGTTGATCGCCGTGGTCAACAACGCAACTCACGTTCTCTGAGAGTACACTTCTACTTACGAGGCGTACACGTACATCAGCAAAGACCATGACGTCACCTTCCTAACGGCCATGATCGGAACTTTCGTGTGTGCACGCCACCCCTGCCTAAGTGGTCTCAGCACTCAGCGTCTTGTATTGGCAGACTCACCATGCCTTGTTCTGTGTGTCTCGCTCTCCCTCGTGCCTGGGCTGCAGCAGTCCTCTCGGTGCCGACGACGGCGACAGAGGCCCTCTTCCAGCCGCCCACCTGACGGCTCTGTGGCTTGCAAAGCCGGATTCTGACGTCCAGCGCTTGTTCGGCCCTGTGGCCAGCTCCTACCCCCACCCCCCCCCCCCGCCCATGGCGCGCGCGGATAGCCGCGGGTTCGAACCTCACTCCCGGCCGGATGTTTCGTCGTCGCTCGCGGTGGTCGACGTGATGGCTTTCCGCCCGTCCACTGCCGGCCGAAAAGTAAGGCGAAAAGCCAGTCGGTCCGTCATTTCAACACACAACGGACACGCCGGCTCCCTGTTGGTGTGGCGGCGGTTTTCTCAGACACTGCCAGGTTCGTGCCGCACCCTGCTGACAGCCGTGCGCCCTCCTCCGCCTGCAGCGAGGCGCAGCGCGGGCCGCCGCCGACGGTGCGCGTGTCGTGCGGCGCCCGGCCGCCGGAGGACGCGGCGGCGACCGACGGCCGGCACCGCTCGGCGGCGCGCCTCCGACTCGAGGCCAAGGGTGCTGCTCTACCTGGAGACGCAGTACAGCCCCGTGGGCCGCGACCTCACCGCACTGCTCACTGCCAACGGTTCAGGTGCGGCGCCGCGCGGCCGGCCGGGCGGGCCGGGAGCGGCGGGGCGCTGCCGTCGGCGGCACCGGCAGGTCGTCCGAAGTGCAGGCGGACGTAGAATGTCGCAGGAGAAGAGCAGAGCTTAGGTGCCGGCTGGTCGCGCCGCCCTCGCGTTGTGGTCGCACGGTGGTGGCGTCCGTGTCGGCAGGAGTGGAGCGGGCAGGGGGGGTGTTAGGTGGTGCGTGCGTGCGTGCGTATATATATATATATATGTGTGTGTGTGTGTGTGTGTGTGTGACGGAGCGATGGTGGAGGCGGTGGCGTGGGCGTGGGCGTGGGCGTGGGCGTGAGTGTGGTATGGCCTAGTTTAGGACACTTGGCGCGCGCCGAGATGCTTTCGTAGGCGCTTTCAAATGTTTGGTCAAGAGTTTGTTTATGCCTCCGTCGTCATTGGTGATGTTTTGGAAGGGAAGTGTTGCCATGTAGGAGTGTATATATATATATATATATATATATATATATATATATATATATATATATTCATTCTTCAACATTGTGCAAGGCAATACATTTGTGCCTAGTGTGGTGTTAATTATTGTAACTGAAAACTTCGAAAAGATGATGCTCTTTACATCCATGTTAACCATTATATACTCTTGCGTCTGTAACGCGCATGTTTTCGTGTCTTTGTACTACCTCAGCAAGTATAAGTAGCGTCGTAAACGTGTCTCCGAAAACAGAGTGAAAACCGCGTGTTCGTATTGCAGCAAAACAAAAGTGTTGCTGATCTCACTGTCCATAACTCGTCGCACGTTGCTGTAGATGCATCCCGCAGTCCCGCTCCATTGCCGGCTTGTCCTGCCGCTCCATTGCCGGCTTGTCCTGCCGCTGGACTTGTGCTGACCTCAGCGTGACGGCAGGTTCAAGACGGTGACGTCGTCCAGCCTGCCGCTCTTCACGTCCGGCGACCGCGGCAGGTACAGCGTCATCGTCTTCGAGTCGTACGCCAAGTACCTGGCCATGGACTCTTGGAACCGCGCCATCATGGACAAGTACTGCAAGGTACGCTAGTCCGGCGCCAGTACTGCCAGGCAGGGGAGCTTTGTCCGGCACTACGCCCGGGTCACGAGCGGCGCGATTTGGACTCAGCTGTGTCCCACCGAGCTGCCTCTCATCCCAACTGTTGAACAAGCGCTGCGAAGTCGACTGACCGTTGCGAACACTGCTAGGCGGGAATGGTGCAGCACTGCTCGACCTTTGGCGTCGCGGGGCGGAGCTCCGGCTGGCGTCAGTGGCCCGCCGGGTGGCTGCACGTCTTCCCCATGGCACCGCGTTTCTTTTCGTTGTCCAGCGCGGCAACCGTGCCGCGGTCATCTGTGTCGCGCGTGACCTATGCTGGGATTCGAGCTCGGGACGCCCGCTCCGAGGCCGGGCTGGCCGCCGACCGGGCTACCACGGCCGGCCGTCTGCCGCAGGAGTACGACGTGGGCATCGTGGCGTTCATGCCGACGCAGGAGGACAGTCTGCACGGCGCGGAGCTGACCGGCTCCGGCCTGCGGATCCACACCAACCTCGCCCTGCAGGTGACGTCTCGGGCCAGGCCGCCCCGACTCGGGTCACGGCACTGGCTGGGGGCTCTGCGTGGTCTGCGTGATCTGTGGTCTGTGCGGTCTGGTCTGGGTGATCTATGGTCCGTGTGATCCGTGCGATCTGCCGTCTGTGTGATCTGTGGTCTGTGGTCTGTGTGATCCGTGGTCTGTGCGATCTGTGATGTGTGCGATCGGCGGTCTGTGTGATCTGTGGTCTGTGGTTTGTGTGACCTGTGGTCTATTGTCTGTGTGGTCTTTGGTCTGTTTGGTCGGCGCGGGCGCAGTTACGCCTGCCTCTGGGCAGATGTGTAGTCTGTGCCCCTCGCGACGGGGAAGCTGAAGCCCGTCATTTCACAGACGGCGATGTCCTTTAGCCAACCCATCCCCAGATCGTCAAATTTTACATTTGTGAAGCCATTACAGCGCGAGCACACTCGTGCATCTTTTGAGCACGATTTGCCATGACATGATATGCAATTTATATGCTTCATGCATGACAGCCCCAGTAGCAATGACAAATAAAACAATGCGCTTCCAACTTGTTCGTATGGCTGGAAGCGGGCTTCGATGGCGGGTCACGCGACGCCCTGGCTAGCTGTACTGCTGAGCAGGACGGAGTGCACGGTCCCGCTTGCACGGTGCAACGCCATCATGCTCGCTCGACGCCCGCTGCCGATGGGCCTGGCGCTGGCCGCCGCCGGCCGCTGATGAGCCTGGCGCTGTCCGCCGCCGGCCGCTGATGGGCCTGCTGCCACCCGCTGCCGGCTGCTGATGGGCCTGGCGTCACCCGCTGCCGGCCGCTGATGGGCCTGGTGTCACCCGCTGCCGGCCGCTGATGGGCCTGGCGCCACCCGCTGCCGGCCGCTGATGGGCCTGCTGCCACCCGCCGCCGGCCGCTGATGAGCCTGGTGCCATCCGCTGGCGGCCGCTGATGGGCCTGTTGGCTCCCGTGGCCCGCGCATGGCAACTGGGTGGCATGGAGGAAATTAGGCCCCTGGCTGGCGGCCTAGCTCCGCGATGTTTGTCAGGACCCCTAGGTCGCAAGTTGGTCTCTTATGCCTGCTGTATGAATTGCTTTTAACACGCATGTGGACAGGCGTCGTTTATCATAATGAGACCGGCGGGACGTTCGTATTTGTCGCGTCGCCTACGTCCATGGTTGTGTGTTATGTGTGTCTATCGGCCGGATGACTGGCGCACGGTCAGAGTCTTGGTGCAGCCTGTTGCGTACGTGGGGTTGACCTGCCACACAGGCCGCACCGCCATGATGGTCATCACCAAAATAAATAGTAATGATAGCGTTGTAAAATGGTTGTTACAAGTTGTCGCCATTGTCATGTTAATAGCATATTGTCGGTGCTCGAAACCAGGGACGATATGGAGTGTAAACGAATGGTATCTGCCCAGGGTCGTTCCTGTTGTTTTGTAAGGCACCATGAGCTCGGCGAAAACCTCCAAGAGCTCTTAAACAAGCGTCAGATATGTGTTTGGTGGCGGAGAAACGTGTCATCAGTGCTGCCGGTGCTGTTGCGTCTGACTCGTCTCCATGGTTACGGAACGCTTACCTGATCCCAGTGCTGTCGCGTCGGACTCGTCTCCATGGTTACAGGACGCGCGCCTGTTCCCGCCCGATGCTGCCGCGTCTGACTCGTTTCCATGGTTACAGGACGCGGAGCTGAACCCCGACTCACCGGTGCTGCGGATCGCCAGAGCCGGAGAGACTCTACGCGGCCCCGTGCCCGGTAGGTGGCACATCTTGGCGCTTGGTGTACCCAAATTGGAGCTACACTTGGTGTGACGACGCGGCAAAGAATGATGGATTAGCATGTCCCGCGTTGAATGGTCTCCATTGTCAGAAACGGGCAACATCTACTGAGCGGCACCGCGTGATTTGCACTTTTCTCTTCAGCGCCAAAGCGTGATTGTTGCTGTTCAGTGGGCTAGATCTTTGACGTCCCTTTGTGAACTGCTAGGCGTGCTTAATGACTAGAGAACTCACCGAAAATGCCGCCTGAGATTTCTGGTTTCGTTCACGCTGGCCTTAATGCTCCCGCAAACTGTGTCTCCTTCTTGGTGTTCTTTTGATAAGTCAGCCCGTTGGACATCCGTCAACCCCGGTGGAGACCCTGTCAACCCGCGATGGACACCCGGCTGGCACCCCGTGACCCTCCGGTGGCCACCCCGTGACCCTCCGGTGGCCACCCCGTGACCCTCCGGTGGCCACCCCGTGACCCTCCGGCGGCCACCCCGTCCACCCCCGACTGAGGCCCGGCTGCCCCCGTCGTCAGGTGACGTGCACACGGTGTTCGTGCACAACCACAGCTCTTACCGGCCGGTGGTGACGGCGTCCCCCCGGCACCCGGAGATGTTCGGCGGTCGGTACCGGCGTCTCACGCTTGTCGTTCAGGTGAGGGGCGGCCCAGGCCGGACGTGGCGGCGTCGCGGGAGCGGCCGGCTGTCGCCCCAGCGCACTGGCGCTCCGTCGACTGGCGGAGTCACTGCCGACTGCCATATGTTGCTGTTGACTGCCTGTGTGACTGTTGAATGTATCACAGCCGACGGTCTGTATCACTGTCAACTGTCCTGTATCACTATCGACTACCTGTGCCACTATCGGCTGTCGGTGTCGCTGTCGTCTGTCTGTAGTCACTGCCAACTGTCCTGTCTGTATCACCTGCCGACTGTATCACTGTCGCCTGTCTACATCACTGCTGACTTCCACATATCAAGTTCACTGTTACACTGTCGACTGCTATGCATCAATTTCGACTGCCCTGTATCACTGTCGACAGCCATGTATCACTGCCGGCAGCCTGCATCACTGTCGACTGCCGCCTACCATTGTCGACAGCCTGTACCACCGTCGACTGTCTGTATCACTCGACTGACATGTATCGCGCTGACCGTCGGCATCACTGTCGACTGTCGTGTCCGGGCTGGGGCCACTGTAAGCGGTCACGTACGGTGACTGTCGACTGTCTGTATCACTCGACTGACATGTATCATGCTGACCGTCGGTGTCACTGTCGACTGTCGTGTACGGGCTGGGGCCACTGTAAGCGGTCACGTACGGTCACTACCACTTGTCTTCCGTTCCTCGTTAGCTGTCACACTGTCCGGAACACTGTCGGGTAGCGTTCTGTCAAATGGAACACATACAAACTATGACTCCGTCGACAGTCACAGGATAGTTGCGGGAGCGGCCAGGGCAGGACGGCGTTGGTGCACGCGCACGACGCGCGTGTATTTCTTGGAGCTCTGTTGTGCACCGAGTACTGAACACAACACAACACAGTTGTGTTGTGTTGAGTACTCTGTTGGCGGTAATGCGTGGGCGTCCTCACATACACCGGCTGCTGGGTATCATGTATCGTGTATCATGTCGACTGTCATTATCATGTCAACTGTCGTGTATCATGTCGACCGTCTGCATCACTCTCGACTATCTACATCACTGTCTTACTGTATATGCTGTACTGTACATCACTGTCGACTTCCATGTATGCCATGTTGCTGCTGACACTGACGTCCTAGGTGTGCCATCAGCCGGGTGTGGCGTCTTCCTGGCTGCCGCAATCTTCCGCGGCTTCTCAGTCCCGTGCCTCTCTCCCTTGTCACGCCTTCGCTGTCGTCTCCACCACGCTCATGCTCCTGCGTTCTAGCGGTCCCTTCCCTCTGCAACCCCCGTTTGGGTCTGGGGACGAGCAAGGTTGCGATGCTACAGCCCAGGTTATCGCCACTGTTGTCGTCGTCTTCCCCGTATTTCTCCTTTGGTTGTCTTTACCTTATGCGTTTCTTCGTCTCGTTCCCAACGGGCTTGCCCTTGCGGTCTTTCCGTACACCTGTCCCCGTCTTTAGTTTTCAATTTTATTTCTTTCGCATAGTCGCATTTTTCTTCATTTTCCTGCATTTTTCCGTTGGCTTCTTCCCGTCGACTACTTTTTCTCCCTCATACGTCTTGTCCTGTCCTCTTGGGTTTCCCTGCTCTGCCAATTGAGACGCACGCACTCACCGCCATCGCCGCCACCGCCGTGTCGGCAGGACTGCGGCTACCACGACGGCATCCGCCGCGTGCTGTTTGGCACCGGCCCGGACTTCTGGCTGAGCCGGGTGCTCCTGCTGGACAGCATGTCGTACCTCTCGCACGGCCAGCTGGCGCACCCGCTGGACCGGCTCATCATGGTGGACGTCGACGACATCTTCGTCGGTCGGTCCGGCATTCGCATGAAGCCGGACGATGTTCAGGTGAAGAGTGCGCACGGGCGCACGGCCGGGGCAGGAGGGCTGCGCTGTTTCAATGAGGGGGCGTGTGCGGCTGGCTGTGCTGCATAGGTCACCAGCCACTGGCATAGCTGGACTCACAGTCTGACCTGACCACCTTGTCCCCTGGTCTGACCGGACATCTTGGACCTCCGTCCTGACCTTTGCCCTGACCTCTGCCCTGACCTTTGTCCTGACCTTTGCCCTGACCTCCGCCCTGACCTCTATCCTGACCTTTGTCCTGACCTTTGCCCTGACCTCTGCCATGACCTCTGTCCTGACCTTTGCCCTCACCTCTGCCTGGACCTTTGCCCTGAACTCTGCCCTGACCTTTGTCTTGACCTCTGCTCTGACCTCTGCCTGGATCTTTGTCCTGACCTCTATCCTGACCTCTGTCCTGACCTTTGCCCTGACCTCTGCCTTGACCTTTGTTCTGACCTCTATCCTGACCTCTGTCCTGACCTTTGTCCTGACCTCTATCATGACCTTTGTCCTGACATCTGTCGTGGTCTTTATTGATCTGGCTCTTGACACGTCTGACTTCGCTCTGACCCGGCCTGACCACTGAACTGACGTGACCTCTGATCCGACGTCTGGCCTCTGCATGACCTGACTTCTGAACATGACCCGAGCCGTGTCCTGACCTGAGATGTGACCGGCGTCAACAGGCGATGCTGGACTCGCAGTCCCGCCTGCGGCAGCTGGTGCCCGGCTTCACCTTCAACCTGGGCTTCTGTGGCAAGATGCTCCACACGGGCAGCGAGGAGGAGAACGCCGGCGACGACGCCCTGCTGGGTACGTCAGCGGACCGGGGGGCTCTGGCTGGCGGCACGCTCCGGACGTGCGCGCCGGCGGGTGGCTGCCGGTTGCGTGTGGGTGCGGTGACCTGTTGTCGTGACTCGGCGGCGGCCGGTGGTGGCGCCTCTGCAGCCGTTGTACCTCATCGATGGGCACGTTCAGTTTTTGGATAACTGTTCGCGTGTGGGTCAAATGCACGTGTCTACTTTTGTTGGTGGCACAACAAAATGAACTCGGTAATGCTTGGCCAGGGGGAAAATGAAAAAAAGCATCACCACAATGTGCCTCGTTTGATTGGGTGAGACTTTCGGAGTCATTGCGTGTCTTTGTCCATGCTGATGTTAGCCTATCGACTAGGCGACACAGGGCACAATAAACCTGGGTTTGGGCGTCAGGACGGTATATTATGGGTTCCCGAGAGGGGAGGGGGAGGAGAAGGGGGGAGGCACCGTCGTCACCAGCGCTCACGCCCCCCGCCCCCACCCAGCCCGGTCCGGTCTTGGCCCAGGGTCCGTAACATGTCATCTGCTCTCACAGCGGCCGCCGACCAGTTCTGGTGGTTCCCGCACATCTGGAGCCACAAGCAGCCGCACACATTCGGCAACTTCAGCGAAATCGTGCATCAGATGACCCTCAACAAACAGGTGGGGCCCGGCGGGAGGGGGATGGAGGGAGGGGGTGGCGTCAGGTGCAGCACCCCGCCTTGGCAAAGGGACGCGTGCCGGACCGTAGTGCTCGCTGGATCACCGCTCTGGTAATGACAGCTGTGTGCAGCGTGCGATGCGCCGATGACGTAAAGCGTGTGGAACAAGCTGCACGAAACTGAAATGTCAGCTTGTATGTCTTGATATATATATATATATATATATATATATATATATATATATATATATATATATATATATATATATATATATATATATATATGCGGTGCGTGCGTGTGTGCGTGTTTGCGTGCGTGCGTGCGTGCGTGCGTGCGTGCGTGCGTGCGTGCGTGTTATAATTTCTTGCCTTGCTTTCTTGGTTACATTTTCGAACACAATACCCTCGTCTTATGCGACCTCGTTGTAACCGTGTGGTGGTGGGCGTCACCAGTTCGCGGAGGAGCACCATCTGCAGGTGCAGCACCAGTACGCCGTGGCGCCGCACCACTCCGGCGTGTACCCCGTCAACAACCGCCTGTACGACGCCTGGCGGGAGGTGAGCGAACTGCGACTGACGCGTACGTCCCGAGAGGGCGCTGGTGGCGTCGCGGTCACAGCCTGCCTGGACGTCCGGTGCGGTGGCGGATAATTTGGAAGGTCGCGGGCCTGTATGTGGAGTGTAATATGTCAGTCCGCTCGCGAGTGTAGTGGGAGTCAGTGCAGGATATCAGGTGCATCATAGGTCTTTTGTTGGGACTTATCTGTACAATATTCATAGTGTGCTACTTAACTGACATCCATCTAGTGTACCAAGTGTGTGGCAAATCCGTCCCTTATCCTATATCTTGCTTCATCCTGCATCCTCGCGACACCCCGCTTGTCCGGGGCGGGCTGCGTGCGTCAGCCACGAGTGGGCCGAGAGCCCCGTGGGAAGGGGACCCCGGCCGGGTACCCACGCGTGCGCGAGTTAAAGCTCGGCGGTTGGCCCCCCAGGCGCATGCACGTCTGCCCCATCGTTAGCCATTTTCCCTCATCCCATAGCCCTGAGGTGATCATTTTTGGTCGAAAGGGCTCTAATAAAAAAAGAGTTGTGTAGCTGTCAAGGCGCAGGGACGTCAGTAGCCTTATTGTGTAAACAGTGCAATGACGATACCAATAGCTCGGTCGACTTTAGAGGCAAGGCGACCTCAAACGCCGCGATGATGAAGTTTGCATAAATCACGCAGGGTACCGTGTAATATGTCATTCATGTCATTACCATCACTGTTCTGTGATTTTTGTGCAAAAACCAGTTGAGAAGAACCAGCGAGCTGTTTGCTGCGCAATCAGCTTTGGATCTGTTGACAAGTTAGCGTTGCTTCGGAAGACCTCTTGGGTCGACAGGCGCTAGCCAAGCAACGCGAGACTCTTGCACAAAAGGTGACGGTGCAGTGTCCCTGGGGAAACCCCTGTGTTCGCACAAAAACCCACGAATCTGCGATCAGTCCGCATCGCAAGCGTGGGAGCACTCCTATCGCGCGCTGGCTTTGAGCCGGGCACCTCCGCTCACGTCCGTCGGCGCGGTGCCGGCAGGTTTGGGACATTCGGCAGACGTCGACCGAGGAGTACCCGCACCTGTACCCGGCCGTGCAGCGGCGCGGCTTCGTCTACAAGGGTGTGCGCGTGCTGCCGCGACAGACCTGCGGTCAGTGGTCTGAATCCCCTCTCCACACCCCACGCACTGGTGGTTTGTGGTCTGAATCCCTCTCCAGACCCCACAGACCTGCGGCCGGTGGTCTGGACCCCCTCTCCACGTCCCACGCACCGGCGGTTAGTGGTCTGAATGCCCTCTCCACACCCCACGCACCTGTGGTTAGTGGTCTGGACCCCTCTCTCGACCCCACAGACCTGCGGCCGGTGGTCTGACCCCTTCCCAGGCCCCACGGACCTGCGGCCGGTGGTCTGACCCCTTCCCAGGCCCCACGGACCTGCGGTCGGTGGTCTGGGCCCCTCGCCCTAGACGCCACAGACCGATGGTTAGCGGTCTGGACCCCCTCCTCAGACCCGAAAGGCCTGTGGTCAGTGGTCTGCCCCTCCCCAGACCCCACAGACGTGCGGTTGGTGGTCTGGACTCCCTTTCCAGACCCCACGGACCTGCATTCGGCGATTTGAACAGCCCTCCCCACGCCCCACGGACTCCAAACTCCACAGACCGGTGGTTTGTGGTCTGGACCCCTCCCCAGGCCCCAAAGACCCGCCGTCAATGGCGCAGGTCGAGGAATGGGACCGGAGAATTGTGCTGTGTCTCGCGGGGCGACGCGAGTCGACGGGAGGGACGGGGAGGGAGGAGGAGGACGAAACATGCAGAGGACTGTGAGTCGTGCATAATGTTATATAATGTAATATGCATGGTATAAAGAAGATATGATCTGTAAATGGAGACTTGCGGTGCGGGCGTTGAGAACCTGTCAGCTCCGTGGGACAGAAAGTTGTGTTAATTTCTTGCGCGAATCGCAGTGACAAGTGACGTCATCAGTATGTTCACTTCTCGAACGGTGGTGTGCGGTGGCAGAGTCCTAGCCACAGCGATGTCATGGAGCGACCCGCCGGCCTTTGTGAGGTGCTTAGTCGGCCAGCTCAGCTGTATCAAATGGCGGCAACCGTTGAAGACGCAAGTGCTATGAGATGAGGGCTAAATTTGGACTCGGTTCACGAGCAGCAAATTCGCTCTCTACGTCAGCCACACCGACCGCGATGTTCGGGTGCCCCCCCCCCCCCCCCCTCCCCACCCTCGCCAATTGGGAGGTAATGGGCGTCACCCTCTGGACGCGGCGGGCATGTGCTTGTCCGCGTTGGCATACGTATGTTTTGTCGACGCTGCGGACGTTTTGGCGTCTTTTGCTTGTCGCAGAGTGAACTTCTCGCCTGTTTCAACCACACTTGCTTGAAACTATAGAGCTACGGCATGAACGTCTGTCGTCCGCGTCCAAATGAACTCAGCGTTGCCAGTCCAATGGCGGAAGCCGTTTTTCCGTTCGGCGTTGGCAACTCCGCAGTGCTGACTGTCGTAATTGCATGCAGGGCATTTCACCCACACCATCTCCTGACTGTGGTGACTCCCTGTGGGGCAGTTCACCCACACCATCTCCTGACTGTGGTGACCTCTCTGCAGGGCTGTTCACCCACACCATCTCCTGACTATCTTGACCTCCCTGCAGGGCTGTTCACCCACACCATCTTCATCGACAAGTACCCGGGAGGACGGCAGGCGCTGGACGACAAAATTCAGGGCGGAGAGATATTCCAGACCATGCTCAACAACCCGGTGAGATCTGCTGGACCGTGGCCAGCGGCCTGGTATGGTCCCCGGACCGTGGTCATCGGCCTGGTAAGGTGCCCGGACTGTAGTCAGCAGCCTGGTAAGATCCCCGGACTCTAGTCAGCAGCGTGGTAAGGTGCCCGGACTGTAGTCAGCAGCCTGGTAAGATCCCCGGACTGACAGTCAGCAGCCTGGTAAGGTGCCCCGGACTGACAGTCAGCAGCCTGGTAAGATCCCCGGACTGACAGTCAGCAGCCTGGTAAGGTGCCCCGGACTGACAGTCAGCAGCCTGGTAAGATCCCCGGACTGACAGTCAGCAGCCTGGTGAGGTGCCCCGGACTGACGTAGTCAGCAGCCTGGTGAGGTGCCCCGGTGCCCAGCAACCAGTGATGATGGCATACTTGACAGCATCACCAAGGGCCATCGAGATAGAGGTGTATCTCTTTCGTCGCGTTGTACGAGGCCGGTGGTGATTTGCGTCACCTTTTGTCACCGATCAGCTGGGTATTGGTTTATATGACTCCTCAGCACCTTACTGCCTGCCAGATGGAAGCTGGTGGTGCTGAGTGCCTCGCGAAAAAGGAAATGAAAGTAGTGGTCGGAAGCATAACCACAAGTGCTAGAATATTACAAGGCCGTTCAATACACCAAGAATGATCAATGTCAACCCCGGAGGGTTAACACTGACGACATGCGTCTCAGCCGCGTTGCTCAGCTGCCCTCGGCGCGCCAGTATAGCCGCAGTTGGAAGACGGCTTATGCCTCTCGGACATCAGTTTTCCACATCACCGTCGCTCTGTCGGACTCACACCATCACTGGCCCCTCGCCGGCGCGCCGTCCGTCACGCGTCCTTCGGTTTCTGTGGGGTGATTGTGACCTATGCTTTCTGTGACGGTTGCCCTCTCCGGGGGGGGGGAGGGGGGGGGGGGGGGCACGGGCTCGAGTCCCGGTCGCCGCTGCAGTCCCTGGGCGATGATCTGGCCATGCAGTCGCTGACGCTCCCTGAAAGGGCTCGTGACGACGTGCGCTGTGTAACCTTTCGAAAAAGGATGCCCTCTCCCATCGGCGTCTCTTTCTCCGCCCGGTATCCATGCGGCTAATGGGCGACAGCCAGTCACCCACTGTGGTAAGCACCACGTGCCCAATCTGTGACCATAAATGAGCGACGGGCCCAGGGCCGCACTCCCACCACGGCCACCGCCCAGCGTCGGCTCCTCACCAGATGTCACCACTGGCGTCGCCGCCTCCGCCCGGCAGATGTCGATCTTCATGACGCACCTCAGCAACTACGGCAACGACCGGCTGGGCCTGTACACGTTCGAGTCGGCCGCGCGCTTCGTCTCGTGCTGGACCCACCTGCGGCTGCGCACGGAGCCGCCCGACCGGCTGGCCGACCAGTACTTCCAGCGGTTCCCGGAGCAGCGCGACCCCGTCTGGGGCGTGAGTACAGACCGCCGCCGCCGTCCGAGCGAGCGAGGGGGGGGGGGGGAGGGGCGCCCCGGTCGGGAGGAGACGGGCTTCGTTGGTCCACCACCGGGCGTGCGGCTGACGACGATATTCGTAGGATTGGTGGCCGCTCCTATGTAGCTCCGTAAAGCCTGAATTAATGATAGATATTTGTTGATCAACTAACTACTAGTGTTTGCTGACATTTTTGGAACTTTTGTTTAATGGAACTGGTGTACTGCTGCAGAACTCCTTGTTCCGGATCATTATAAAGTGCTATGCATATGCGTTGTGGCTCATTCTTGCTGTAAAGTGTACAAGAGTTCTGGCAATATATATATATATATATATATATATATATATATATATATATATATATATATATATACACCATCAGCTCATCATGCTCGTACTCCTGTGTTTCTCCTCCTCATGCTGCCTGCAGACTATCTGCTGACCTCTGTGGCTTACCATCTGTTGACCTACTGTCCTCTGTGTCTGGCCCCCGCTGACCTCTTTGCCTGGCCATCTGCTGACCTGTTGACCTCTGTGTTTAACCCGTGCTGACATCTGTGTCGTCCCATCTGCTGACCTGCTGACCACTTTGACCCGTGCTGACCTGCTGACCTCTGTTCTCGCCCACTCGCTGACCTGCTGACCTCTTTGTCTGACCCCTGCTGACCTGCTGACCCGTCAGAACCCGTGCCGGGATCGCCGCCACCTGAGTCTGTGGCGGATGGCCGAGGACGCGGCCGTGTGCCAGCGCTTCCCGCGCCTGCTGGTGCTCGGGCCGCAGAAGACGGGCTCGACGGCGCTCTTCACCTTCCTCGGCCTGCACCCGACGCTGCTGGCCAGCCGACCCAGCCCCGACACGTTCGAGGAGGTGCAGTTCTTCAACGGCAACAACTACCTGAACGGCATCGACTGGTGGGTGGGGCGCGCGCGCCGGCGCCGGCGGCGGCCTTCGTTGGCGGGCGGGGCGGGGAGGGGACGGTCGCCGTCGTTGCGGGCAGTCACTGGTCATGGCTGTACATGCGCGATCTACTAGCGTGCTTCGCTGCGAGGCGGCGGAATGTTGCAACCTGAAATGTTGCAGCTCAGGTCACTATAGGTCGTATGTGACCGGGGCAGTCGTGGCGTCCCAAAGTCCCAAATTATCGTCATTATCGTACAGATTACCAAAGGTTGAAAGCGGGCTAGTCCACAGGCTAGCGCTGTCGTCGGTGGTGCTGATTCACCACAGCGTCGGTCTGTGGCGTCCTTCGCACGGGCGCGAACCGCGGCCGGCGGCGGGAGCCAGCCCGTTGCCACCGCTTCGAGACTGGGCTCGCGCTGGCGGCGGAGTCTCGCTGTGGTCGGCCTGTGTCAGGACGCGCGCTGCTCCGGGTGCTCACGTGCCGCTCCGCTCCGAGTTGAAGCTCGTGGGCTGCGAAAGCTGCCCAGTGTTCAGCCGTGTCGCTTCGGAGTAGTTCGCCATGTGGTGTTACAGTGGTCCATGTAGGAGCAGCGGAACCCTTCACACCTAGCCCTTCATGTCTAACGAAACCCTTCACGCCTAGCCCTTCATGTCTAACGAGACCCTTCACGCCTAGCCCTTCATGTCTATGGGACATCTCGTGGGACATGACATCTCGTGGGAAATCTGAGGATGTCATGACCTTTTTGTGCGGCGGAGTCGTGGCTGGTGTGCCTGAGCGTGTGTTTCAGCACGCTCGTCTTTGGATGACTGTATTTGCCCTCATAACATGTGAGCCGTCCCTTTGTCTGCGGACGACGGACGGCGATATCCCAGAGTTGATTCGGGATTGCCCAAAGACAAGTCAGTGGACGTCAACAGACGGTGCGGGGGTGACTCTTCTGGCGCTCGTGAGACTGCCGGCGCCAGTATGGATACGGTCTGGCGTGGCGCGCGATCCTGCCGCCGGCGGCACGGGTCGGGCTCTGACGTCACTGACGCCCCGCCCTCGGGCGTGCCGGCGTCACTGACGGTAGGCTGGCGGAGGGCGCTTCGGGTCCCGCGCAGGAGGGCAGGAACCGCGCGGTATGTGAGGGGCGATCGTCGCGCGCGCGAGCGACTGACGGCGTGACGTCCGTTGCAGGTACCTGAACTTCTTCCCAGTGCCCAACAACGACTCGGTGTACCTGTTCGAGAAGAGCGCCACCTACTTCGACAGTGATGTGGTCCCCAAACGCGTGCATTTCCTGCTGCCGGACGTCAAGCTGGTGAGCTGCGGTTTGGGAACTACTGGTGTTCGGTGTGTACCAAAATGCATTTTTCGCGTATACTTTGCTATTTTTACCGTGATTGGCACTCCGTTTGTAGCCAACGATTGCAGAAGTAATCCATAACGTATTTCTGGGAAACTGGCGTTTTGTGAAGCGAAGGAAGTTCATAAGCACCATGATGTGAAAACGTATCTGTGATTGGCAAGACGTGAGGTATTTTGGCCGTCGTTTGAGCAAATTGGCAGAATGCAGCGCACTGTCTGCAATTATATTACCAATGCTATCCCGCGATGTTTCAGCGAATGTGAAACCCCCTTTGAACTACCAAGAGACCAGCGGCGGACTACGTTCGTGCCGCACCGGCCCTTCTGGCAACAGTCGGCCGTAGCGTACCGATCGACGGGTGGCGCCACGCCGCCGCCGTGTCGTGCCCGTGAAGTTGAGCTGCCGCCCACGTCCGACAGGTGGCGATCCTGATCAGCCCGGCGGCGCGCGCCTACAGCTGGTACCAGCACCAGCGGGCGCACCAGCTGTCGGCGGCGCTGCGCTACTCCTTCTACGAGGTGGTGTCGGCCACCAACCAGTCTGAGCGTAGCCTACGCCAGCTGAGGAACAGGTGAGGGGGCGTCCGGGTCAGGGGTCACATGGTAAAATGTCAAAGGTCATCATCCGGAGACACGTGAGCGAGGCCGGGCCAGGAGTCACATGATGGGAGGTCAGAGGTCATCGTTCGGAGACACGCAAACACACGTGAACGGAGCCGAGCCAGGGGTCACATGATGAGAGGTCAGAGGTCATTAGTCAGAGACAAACGCACACGTGAACGGAGCCGGGCCAGGGGTCACATGATGAGAGGGCAGAGGTCATCAGTCGGAGACACACTTGAACCAAGCCAGCCCAGGGATCGCATGGTGAGAGGTCAGAGGTCATCAGTTGGAGACATGTGAACGGGGCCTGACCAGGGGTCACATGATGAGAGATCATAGGTCATCAGTCGAAGACACACGTGAACAGGGCAAACAGGAAATCAAGGAAAGTGTTCAGAGCTGCGTGATGCAGCTGTTATATGGATCCAAGCTAATCTGATGCAGCTAGATTGCCATTGCAGCGACGTCGAGGTAAGCAATGTGGCTGCTCGCCACATGTCTGAGCGCCCATCGGTGTGTCCGTGCGCCTGTATGACGGTCTGTGTGCCGGCAAGGTGTCTGTGCACCGGCTTGCGTGTCCGCCAGGTGTCTGGAGCCGGGCAAGTACGCCTCCCACCTGGAGATTTGGCTGCGCCACTTCCCGCCGTCACAGCTGCTCCTGATGGAACGGTGACCAGCTGAAGGACGACCCCGTCCAGGTGAGCCGTCCCCGTCCCCGACCCCCGTCCAGGTGAGCCGTCCCCGTCCCCGACCCCCGTCCAGGTGGAGCCGGCCCCCGTCCCCCGACCCCCGTCCAGGTGAGCCGTCCCCGTTCCCCGATTCCCGTCCAGGTGAGCCGTCCCCGTCCCCGTTCCCCGACCAGGTGAGCCGTCCCGTCCCCGACCCCCGTCCAGGGTGAGCCGCCCCGTCCCGACCCCGTCCAGGGTGAGCCGTCCCCGTCCCCGACCCCGTCCAGAGTGAGTGCCGTCCCCGTCCCCGACCCCGTCCAGGTGAGGGCCGTCCCGTCCCCGACCCCGTCCAGGTGAGCCGTCCCCGTCCCCGACCCCGACACCCGTCCAGGTGGAGCCGTCCCCGTCCGCCGACCCCGACCCCGTCCAGGGAGCCGTCCCGTCCCCGACCCCGTCCAGGGTGAGAGCCGTTCCACCGTCCCGACCCCGTCCAGGTGAGCCGTCCCCCGTCCCCGACCCCGTCCAGGTGAGCCGTCCCCGTCCCCGACCCCGTCCAGGTGAGCCGTCCCCGACCCCGACCCCGTCCAGGTGAGCCGTCCCCGTCCCGACCCGTCCAGGTGAGCCGTCCCCGTCCCCGCCCCGTCCAGGTGAGCCGTCCCCGTCCCCGACCCCGTGCAGGTGAGCCGTCCCCGTCCCGACCCCGTCCAGGTGAGCCGTCCCCGTCCCCGACCCCGTCCAGGTGAGCCGTCCCCGTCCGACCCCGTCCAGGTGAGCCGTCCCCGTCCCCGACCCCGTCCAGGTGAGCCGTCCCCGTCCCCGACCCCGACCCCGTCCAGGTGAGCGTCCCCGTCCCCGACCCCGACCCCGTCCAGGTGAGCCGTCTCTGAACCCGACCCCGACCCCGTCCAGGTGAGACTCTCTGACCCCGACCCCGACCCCGTCCAGGTGAGACGTCTCTGACCCCGACCCCGACCCCGTCCAGGTGAGACGTCTCTGACCCCGACCCCGTCCCCGTCCAGGTGAGGCGTCTCACCCCTGCGGGGCTGACGCCAGCCTCTGGAAGAGGCCTTGCCCGCGCAGTTAACATGGGCGGTCTTCGGCTCGTAGTGCTCGCCGAGCACTTGTCTCGCGTGGGTTTAGCCGAACACCGCGATTCGGCAATAATTGCTGGTTAGCTGAGGATCTTACCGTGGGAGTTCGGCCCCGTGCCTGGTCCGCGGTATGCAACGCCGACGACGGGCGGCGGCCGACCGAGCGGTGCCGGCCCGGGCGGGCGCGCGGGCGGCGGCCGGCCGGTACGCAGACCCCGGGAGCTGACGGCTGCCGGCGACCCCTGGCGGAGCCGCGAGCGCCCCCCCCCCCCCCCCTAGGCGACCGTAAACCAATCCTGGCGGGAGCTGGCGTGGCCATGATGTGCCGGCTGTGTTGCGAGGTCCCCATGGCGGGCTCGTCGCGCGGGGCCAACGGTGGCTGTGGGCGGTCACAGACTGTCCCGCGTCGACCTCGCCGACGCTGCGCTCGCCGCTGCCGCAGGTGATGCAGAAGGTGCAGGAGTTCCTGCAGGTGGTGCCAATAGTGGACTACAGCCGCCTTATCGAGTACGACGAAGAGAAGGGCTTCTACTGTCAGGTACGACACGGGCTTCTGCAGCGGGGCACATACCACACGGGCTTGTGGTGATACTGAGTATGGAGTGGCGCACCGACTGCATGACCATTTGCTTCCTCTCGAGAACGGCTAACTTTATTTCACTCGGCTACGGCTTCAAAATAACTTAACAATCGTCTAAATTAAGTATACCCACGCCGTCAGAGACTGTAAGCAATGCTAAAGGCGACGTGCGCCGGGAATGAAAGTACGTCGGCAATCTCACAGCACCTACAAGGTCACCTAAAAGGTCACCACCTAACAACTGAGAAAGTTGCGCTGTGGGGAAGTAACGCCGCCCATTGGCGGCTCAGCTACGGCACGTAGTGAGGACATGTGCGACGTCGGATGCCCCCCGCATTTCCAGCTGCAGGGCGCATACGACACAGGCTTCCTCTGGCGGGCGCCCTCGACGTCGGCCGCACGCCTCAGTGTGGCCTTCCATCGTGTGTCGTGTTTGTAGCTGGCGTTTTCCAGATTCGTCCCGAGCCATTTGCAGGTGTGACATTGGGCTAAGCCTTCACCCGTAGCAGTGGCCTCTTTCTGTTCTGTGAACCCATCACCCGGGTAGGACCATTCTAGTTCAACTCGTAGTCTTGCGTCTCACCTTTTCACCGGGCAGCATTGCGGGGAAATAGTTTTCGTGGAACATAAGAGTATGGCCTGGCCGCCGTATGCCAGGCTGATCTATGGCCTACATGCTGGCCAACTGCCATGCGTGTGGTGAAACTGACACCCAGCTGTTTGTGGTGCTGAACACCGGGTCCCTCCTCCGCGATGCCCGCCCGTCCCTCCGGAGTGGCAGGGTGCGGAGCCACAGCCCCAGCAGCTGGGTGCGGCGTGAAGCCCAGTGATATGGGACAAGTCGTATGGTGTCACCCGGCGGCGGGTACACTATTACACTGCTGGCATCGAAACACTTGTCAGTGTCGCCGTTGAAGCAGGGCTAGAAAATACGGTAATGGTAACGGCACATTAAAAAAGGTATTCCCTCAAGGCATATAAAAGCTATGTTTGAAAGTTTTTGTCGAAACTTTATGCACAGCAGTTTACCAAGAGGAGGCGCTAGATAAATTGAGGATCGATTTTCGTTTTGGTGAGCGCTTTCTAAACTTCCGTCTTACCTGCTCCGAAGCAAGGTCAGAATCGTGTAGAATACGACCTTGAATGTTCCTTGCACGAGTTCCACCGCCGACAATAAGCCTGATAAAAGTGAACGTACCTGCCTAATCTCAGAGCTCACACTCCACGAGAAAACAGCCTTGTACCACGTGATATTTGACTCAGGCACCACGCGGATGATTCTTATGCTTCAGCCCACGGAGTGCGGGGGCTTTCGGATACGGTTCTTATCAGTGATCATATTCTGTGGCGAACAGAGGTGCACGGCGACACCCGAAATTGAAGGGACATAATTTCAATATCATTCCATCAGTCAATCTTAATCAAATCAATCAATTTAATCAAATCTCAGGCAGGGCCGGAGTTAGACGAGAAAACGAGCAGGCGTCCGGACTGGTCCGTGGACAGCCTCGGCCGTGGCGTCGCATCTCCGTGTGCTGACCCGGGTGACCTTAGGTCACGACCCTGCTCATGCTGTCTCCGTCTTGGCAGGTGCTGGCCGGCTCGGGGCACACCAAATGCCTCGGCAGCGGCAAGGGTCGCCATTACGAGCCCATGGAGGAGCAAGCTTCCCAATTCCTTAAGGTGGGTCTCCCCGGCGACGGATGCCTGGCGCCGTGACGCTAGCGATTATGGTGTTCCGAACAGCTCATATGCGCGTCCTGTGAAGTCATTCGATCCAGTTTAAACCTCGTGAACATCTCGCCGCCACAACCGAGAATCGAACCCGGGTCCTCAGCGCCGTAGTCGGAGTCCCTCCCCAACCGCGCCGCCGCGGTCAGCCGTGACATGACTCGGAATGGGAGCGTGCGCGGCTGCTGCGGTCCACGCGGCGGCACGCGGCACTCGATCAGCGCGTGTTACAGGGGACTCGTTTGTGCGCGATACTCGTGCGCAGTTGTGGCATCGGCTTCCGAACTCCAGCTCACAACGAAATGGGCGGCGGCTTTGGCTTCGCGCATGTCCGCTCCGGCTCGGCGTCGTGCTGGCGCCCCGTGATGCAGAAGCGTGTGTGCTGTGGCTTTGTTCCTTGTCGCCCTGGCTGTGCTGACTATCGGTCTCCGCGTGTCCGCCGCGTACTGACAGCACGCTCGCCGTCCGCCGGCAGCGCTTCTACTTCAGTCACAACATCAAGCTGAACAAGCTGCTGAAGCGGACGGGGAAGGCGGTGCCGCCCTGGCTGGTACAGGAGCTGAGCAACGTCCCCGGCGGCTGACTCCGGACTAGGCTGGCGGCAGAGTGCAAGCCCGCGCTCGTTCTGTGGCTCCGAACCGATCCTTGGCATTGTGAACCGCGTCTAACTAATGTCTCCCGTTCTCCTTCCGCCGTGGTAATCCCCTGTGACCTAACCTCGCGACGAGGGTAGTATTGTGCTTCGCTGTACCCCAGTTGTATTGGGGACGCGTGCACCTTGTTAGTACCACTGTTTCATAACTGCGCATAACCTCCGTGGAGACCGCCCGTCTTGTTGACGCGGGCATTGTCGACAACTGATCGTTCATGGACTCCCAGATGGCACGAGCGTTCCCTCGTGGAAACTTCCGAACCGTTTGCCGCTTCCCGGCCGCCGCGGCCTTCGAGCGCGCCAGCGCCGCCACGTGACCGGCGCCCGAGGGCGACCGACCCCGCGAGCCGTGTCGCTCTCGGGCGCCGGTCCGGCGTCGGTGTGAGGGCCGCGATGAGGCGGGCTTGCTCCGTGGCGCGGCCCGCCGCGGCGGCGGCAGCAGCGGAGCGGGCTGGTGCGCTCTGCTGCCAGCAGCGCGACGCGCTTCTGCGAAGCGATGGTATGTCGCTCTGTTGCCGAGCGAGATGTCGCTCTGTTGCCGAGCGAATGTTGCTTTGTTTCCGAGCGAGATGTCGCTCTGATGCCGAGCAAGATGTCACTCTGTTACTGCGCGAGATGTCGCTCTGTTGCCGAGCGAATGTCGCTTTGTTACCGAGCGAGATGTCGCTCTATCGCCGAGCAAGATGTCGCTCTGTTACTGCGCGAGATGTCGCTCTGTTGCCGAGCGAATGTCGCTCTGTTGCCGAGCAAGATGTCGCTCTGTTCCTGCGCGAGATGCCGCTCTGTTGCCGCGCGAGATGTCGCTCTGTTGCCGAGCGGCTCGACTGGCTGCTGTTGGCAGCTCCGTGAGGCTAGTTGGTTGGTGAAGAGAGGCTGGCGCCGTCGGCACGCCGGCAGCGGCAGGCCAGCCGAGCAGAAGGCTGCTGGTGCCGCGCCAACGGCGAGGTCAGGTGACCTGGCCGCCGGGGAGGTCCGGACAGAAGAGTGCCATGCGGGCAGCGACGAGCCGAGGGCCGCGGGTCGGAGGAAGTATTTAACTTTTTTGTATTTTCTTTTTATGACGAGAGGTGAGAGTCGCGGCGACAGTCGCTGTCAGTGGCGGCGCGCGCTTGTTTCAGTCCGGTTATGAGGAGGGGTGTTGTGAACTAGCGAGCAGTGAAGCAGACATCCTGGTGTCGTCGGAGGCCCGCCTCGGCTGTCATCGAGCCGCTAAGCCTCGCTGTTAACGCTGCTGCGTCGGCACCGAGTGTTGCACGAGAGCTTTGTTCGAGAGGTCGATCGTTCGAGATTCGACATCATATTAACTCCATGCGTCACTCCCCCTCTCCGCGTGGCTGGCGAACGGCTGGTGGCAGTGCCCGAACGTGACCTCCCGCCGAAACTCGCTGGCTTTCGGTGCTCTCGGTTTCGGTGGGCGTCAGAGCGTGAGTGTGCCGAGCTGAGGGAGTCAGAATGTGCGTACACTGGAACTAGTCCGGCCTTTACGGCTCGTCTGTAATGTTACAAGCGGCGCGGAGCAGTCAGATATTAGCCGGCCGACTGCGCATGCGTCAACAGCAGACGTTCCGCTCGGTCAAAGCGTTCGGCGCCTTTCGTTTTAGAAAGTGGCGCCCACCTGAGCTCCAGCGGAGCTGTGTCGTGCCATGGGTCGCCATTTTGGAAGGTCCGCTGCCGCGGCCATTTTGTATGACTAGGTGCTGCGACCATTTTGTATGCGATGTGCGCAACTCTATTTCGCAGGAGGGTCTATGTGCGTCTCCGCCGGTGTCAAACTCGAGCAATAGTTTTACGGAAGTGTAATACACTGCCAAAAAGAAGTGTGCTGCTTCGTAGACTGGGTAATGGGGCGTCACCAGGAGAGCAGCATCGCACGGACATAAAGCTTACAACAGCTGTGCAGTCCTCGCAGCTGCCGTGCTGAAGGGCGGATCTAAGGGAGGGACAGCCAGGTCACGGCCCGCCCCGAGATGGTGTTTGTTGGGCAAACAATCACATTGCTTAACTTCGAAGAGAATCTAAGCAATGTTGATCAAGAGGAACACGTGTCAAGGCAGTCCTTGAGGTAAATGGAAGCAAAATATATCTTGAACTGAAATGTTGAAAACCAGGATACGCTTTTGGACCTGTCTCCTCTTGCCCAAGTAGAGATTGGTCTCTTGCTCCAAGGTAGCGTTTTGTATTCGCCCTTAACCTTATTTCACATGACCCAGAACACAATCCGCAATTCATTTCTGTCTGCACTTCTTTACACTACGTTTCTGCCAATGGCGTTTGCAGGCGAAATCGCGCCATGCAGACCGCGCGTGCGCTGTTTGTGCACCGGAGACGATCGCAAACCGACAACGTGAATTCTTCAAAATTCGCTGGATACTTAGCCACAAATGCATGCGTCTCAAGACCGTCCATCGCTAGCAATAGTGTTGCAAGACTAACTGGCACTGGGTAGCCGGATTCATGAGCACCACAGCTCATGAGAACACTCACAAGGCTCTCCGCGTTTGCTGAGAAGCGACGTTGTAGCGTGAACCACAGGTAGGCTGGTCTGTTGGAGACATGGAGCCGCAAGGGGAGTGTTGGACTGGTCTACTGGGGACACTGGGCCGCAGTGAGAGTGCTGGAATGGTCTGTTGGAGACACTGTGGAGACACCGTAGAGACACCCTCCGCATCACTGGCCGCGCGCAAAGCTGGCTGGAGTCGTACTTGAGCAATCACTCACAACGCGTAGTGCTGAACGGCAAGAAATTTGACTGGATCCCAGTGCGATCTGGTGTTCCGGAAGGTAGCATTCTGGGGTAGCTGCTGTTCGCCTGCTTTCTAGTTGATGTTCCTAACCAGATTGAGAGTGAGTGCCTTAGGTACGCTGATTACGTGAAGGTGTATCACCGAATCGATAACGTAGCAGATTGTCCCACACTTATGGCGAATGTGAGCGCCTCTGAATAGTCCAAAAACGAGGGGGGGGGGGGGGCTGAGACTGAAGTCAGTTAAGTGCATTACAACCCTTCATACTCCTCCTGTTCACCACTCGTATGCACTAGACGGTCACCACTCGGAAAGCTGCCAGCGGATTCGCGATCATGGCGTGCTCCTGGACGCCAAACTCACCTTTTGCCAATCACATAGACACAACCGTCTCAAAAGCAAGCAGGATGCTAGGCCTTCTCATGCGAAGCGTGCAAATGCTGTCGTGTTCTGATCAAGCGCGTTTCAATCACCAGGCTTCTTCAACGCTCATGTGAAATCATTGATATCATTATTTGGAGCGGTAGCTGTGCCGCGCGGTAGCGATAGCATTATTTGGAGCGGTGCTGCCATTTCCCATCTCGACCGGTTCCAACAACTACAGCACCGGTTTCTCATGCCGTTGGGTACGAGCAGTCCTTTCCGATATCTACACTAGATTATAAGCACCTTTCCGCTTATCCCAAAGCAGCATCTATCAAGGCACGCTTTACTCAGTCTGACATCTGATTTCTATACAACGTGTATCATCGCAGGCTTGACTACGCTCAGCTGACACCTCTGTTCGGTCTGGCTACCCTGTTCGGTCTAATTTCCCACCCAGTGGTCTCGGCATACCAGCCTTTTCCACAAGCCCTTTGCAAGGGTCAACACGGTTAAAAATAGATGTGTCACGCGTCTTCCCGTTGCCTCCAATCGTTTTCTACTGCTTTCTCCCTCACCTGACTCCCCAACCAACCAAATCATTCCGACCTGATTTGTTTAGGTTCGCCAGCACACGTAGAACGTTGCCTTAAAAGGGAATGTTCCATATTTGAAGGTATTGAGGTAGGCATTAGATATGATGGGAAAAGCTTACTTGAAACCACTGGTAAGCTTTCAAGGTTCAAAAATGGCGTTAATTAGCAAAATTGCAAAGTTTGTAAAAATGCGCGCCCCATTACGTAATTATTTGATGGCGTCATCGTGTTGTGACGACAGCGATACCTGGCAGCATCTGGCAGCCAGACCTAAAGAACACCTCGAAACACACGAAAGCTGACGTCAACCGGCCATTCTCGTCGCGGGGGCTGTGTCGGGTGGCGGATCAGTGGGTGGTTTGTTCGTGGATTTTTTGTCTTGGTGGTGGCCGTAAGAAAAGCTTTGGTGGACTGTTCGACAAACGCAGCGCAGCAGTCGCCAGCTTTTATGGCAGATTATTGATATCAAAGGACGATATGCTGCGCTGCTGCCATTGCTGCCATGCTGTTGCTGATTTTGTCAATACTTCATTGTCGACCCATCGGTGCCTGCAGTGCTCTAGTCCTAGCATTGGTACCACGCGATGCGCTCAGTAGTTCTTTTCTTAATTGTTTATAACTGGAAATGCGGTGACATGCGAAGATTAATAACTTTGTAACGTTGCTATGAATTGATTGCCAAATCATTGCTATTGCTATGGTAAAGATGGTTAGGTTGGGCGACCAATTTTTTTTTGCTTAAGATTATTTGTGCAATTCATAGTTTACCCTGATACAACCATTACGGTGCAATGGCATTCTTGCTGTTGATAGTCTTTTGCCATTATCAACTCAATTGTTACCCGTCCTTCATAAGTTATAAGCTGCTGTCTCATATGCTTGACATGGAGTAGTCCACCAATCTGGTGCATTGTGTAATGGCGCGGGTCAACAGGTGTGGCACTACCTCAGTGCTGTACTGTGGTATGACATAATGAACAATGATATTTTTTACTGCAATCCATGCTGCTTTCATAATAAATTCCATCATGAAAAGATGGGTCAAGTGTGCTCTCTTGTATTGACTCCCCATATGACATATGACTGACCAAAAACACATGATAACATATACAAATCCCTTTCAGCGAAGCAGACAACCAATAAGTGGCACCACCTGCAACATCCCCAAAACAATAATCCACAAAACATGGATGAGAAAGATGCAAACACATCCTCCTCTTCCACAGTCCTGCAACATCCTGCAGCCATCAGGGTGCTTTACTAAAAAATAACGGAAATTTTACGTATGGTGAAATGGCACTGCAAACATGCTGGCCTCGCACAAGGCTGGAAACATGACAAGTGCAGTTAGTTATGGTAGAATGGGCAAAATGCAAGGAAGTGATGAAGCTGCCAGAGCACACCAGGCTGATGATAATACTGTTAGTAAGTGCTATCCAAGACACCAACAGCAATACTTTTCCACCTTTCTCAGCAGCCAGCATCTCACGCAAACTGCAGTGACCATGACATTGGTGACTCACGAGTAGTGCTCGCCTGTATACAAAATTGTGAATACAGTACAATGTGCAT